ATGCTCGATACTGTAAAGGGGATACATCACGCTCGCCACAAGCCTCCTTTCCCTCAGGTGTGGCTGTTAAATAAAAACTTGGCCTGCGAACACCGCTAGCAAGCCGAAGTCTGTAAATTCCTACCTCCAAATTCACAATACTTAAATAAGTAAATTAATTTATTAATGAATAAAAATAATTAAATAAATGAAAAAATAAGTAAATAAATTTAAAAAAACAAATAAATTAAAAATTAGTAAATAAGGGAAAAGAAGTAAATAAATTAAAAACAAACAAATAAATATACGGTGACTAATAAAATTTGTTCAAATAATTGGTGGAACAAATGTAATTATTAAAATGCATTGTTATTCAGTGATACGGTCAGAATTTGGATTTCTTTAAGACTGCGGAATATATTCTCCGAGCGTGATTTTGTCCAACACATTGATGGGAACGTGACTATCTATATATTTATCTATCTATATACCTACCTACCTATCTATCTATTTATCTATCTATCTATCTATCTATCTATCTGCCTGTCTGTCTGTCTGTCTGTCTATCTATCGATCTATATATATATATATATATATATATATATATATATATATACACGGTTACTATTATAAGCATTCTGGCGTGCATAACTAAGAAAATGGATGGATGCAAAGCGGCGCGATGGCGGGGAGAGGGGGCGGGCGTACCGCGAGGTGGTCTGCGCGACGGAGAAGCCGGTGATCTGGTCGCCGTTGAGGTCGTCGCTGACGGGCAGGCCGAGCTCGCGGCCCGCGCGCAGGAGGTCGTCGGCGAGCGCGGGCCGGTGCGGGAAGCGCTGCACGGTGAGCGGGCCGCCCACGCCGTGGTAGCGCGTGCCCACGCGCCGCGTCTCCGTGTTGTCCTCCGACTTCATGAAGTACGGTAGCACGTCGGCGTAGCGCCACCCGGGCACCTGCCAGTCGTCGTAGTCGCGCGGGTGGCCCCGCGTGTACATCATGCCGTTCAGCACCGAGCACCCGCCCAGCACCTGCGGAACAGCGCACGAGCGGTCATTGATTGGTTTGGGTTTCCGGGCGCGTCAGCTGCTATGGTCATTAGATTAGTAAGTGATGTACATGCTGTGTTTCGGAGGAGGCGGGGTGTTAACCCCGCTGGATGGTGAAATCAGTCTCTACATCTTGGATCCCAGGGTTTTGAATCGAATTGAAATGAATTGAATCGAGTGGAGTCGAGTGGAGTCGAGTGGAGTCGAGTGGAGTCGAGTGGAGTCGAGTGGAGTGGAGTCGAGTCGAGTCTTTTACATGCAAGTAAATCTACTGACATGGGACAGCCGGCTTTACTTCCCCTCCGAAGGAAGGTGTACAAAGGATTCTTTTCGCCCTTAAAAATCAACGGCTTCGATCGGTTTTGAACCCGCCAGCTTGGGTATAACAGTCCGATTTGCGAACCGTTTTACCATCGCCAAAGCCGTTTCCCTCCTCTAGGTATCTCTCTCATTGGACATCCTCCCAGACGGATCAAGCTCGAAGCTGACGACACGTGTTCCGACCTGTCTGGTAGTGTAGTGCACGTAAATATAAGCGTGAGCAAGTTTAGAGAGAAGAGGGATCGAGAAGAAGAGGGGGAAAATTCAAGCGGTCCACGACCCGACACTCAAAGTACTGCTTCGATCTTTGCCTAGTATTGATAAAAAACACGGAAAAGTAGCGGTCGGTCGATCGCTAAAATATTCTCCAGACAGCGACTGAATTCGATTTAAGTGTGTAGCTAGTGTCAAACCCCGCCACACGGACTCAAATCGTGGGTCCTCTCTGTGAGAACCGATACAGTGGCAACAGTCCAGCCATCATAGCTCTAATAACATTAGAAACATGTTATCCAATAGTACATGCAGATTTTTTTGACGATACTTGCACAGTCACTCGGGTTAGTGAAATGCACATTTTTCAGTGCATCGTTTTAGAATACCTCTTTGTACTTAGTGAATTATTTGGACGTATGTTAATAATAGAAGGTACTGAAAAGAGGATGTATTGTTGTCATCATTTATGTAATAGACTCTATTTTATGTCAAACATGTTATGAGGAGATTGGCTCTTTAAACATTTGAGCACTTTTATGGATAGATATACGGAAAAAGATCAGAGAAAATGATTTTTTTTCTTTTCTTTCTTATACAGTGAAACGTAGTTCATTTCAGAAAGTTTCTTTTCTACAGTGCTTGCATACCTTGCAATTGTTTAGGCAAATAACTTTTGTAACTAGGGGACTGTATGTATTCAAAAGTGTTCCTTTATATATCAATGAAAAGTGTACATTTTTTATTCATATGAAATTGCTATTTGTTTCAAAACGTTCATATTAAGTTTGGTACTCACTAGGAGAAAAAAGGTCCAATTTAGTTTGTTGTATCATAATAGTACAGAAAATATTTAGCTTTGTTCTCGAACTGTGAATTCCAATATTTTAATATCTATATGCGCAAACATTGACCTACTTCAAAGGGAATGAAACTGCAGTGGTTATATAGAATAATATTGTAGAACGGTTACAGTTTCATTAGCAAATATATACAAAAATGCAAGTAGAAGTAAAAGTTGGAAGCAAATACGCAGGTAAAAAAAGTAGCACGCATATTGTGTACATGGCAAAGTCAAAACTCAAAGTATTTTTTAAACACTTGAACTAGAAACATTGGTTTCGAAGCTTCGCCTTGCTTAATTGCTGTGGACATCAGCCATTCATTCTATGTGAGTTGGTAAATCTGCATTTTCCACTGACCTCTTGTGCAGTATTTGTTGAAATTGTATAGAAATTTTCGATACAGGTTTTTTCGGTCCACAACTAATTGTCTGTATCTTGTTCCTCTTCCATAACCCACGCAAACATTATCGGCAATATGTTGCATGAAATTTATAATTTTGTTTTGCTTTTCATATTTACCTAATTTTGTTTTATCGATTTCATGAATAAGAAACGTAGTATTGAATAGCGCAAATTTAATAAGGGGTGATATTCAGATAAATATAGTTATTTAAAAACAGACTTTGTAATTTTACACCTTTGTCATTTATTTTCTAATCTTACTGTATGATGCGGTCAGATACGCGTATATTTTCTTTCCCAGAGTCATTTTCTTCTTCTTGAACATTTTTAACATTCCAAGTAGTTATTTTTTCATCTCAAAATTCAAATTATCTTCCATTTCACTATTTCTGATCATGTGCCGTACTCGGAATAATACTCCTTCATTTCTCATAACTTTGGCTACATTTATTATTATTATTATTATTATTATTATTATTATTGAAATGGTGATTGGACCGACATAGGGCAGTAACATAATAAGCCACACCAGCCATCTTGCTATTCAAAAATTTTATTACTTAGGTTTTGGCTCCCTTGTTTACGGTTTCAAGCCTTTCATGTAATAAATATTTATTTTAAACAAACGAGATACATATATTCACAAGATAAGTACACATTTACCCCCAAAAAATTTAACATTTACAAATAACTGAAGACTTGTGAGACTGTGCGACCTATCTTGTCAGTGTCATATTTCCTTCATTTCAATATTTCAAACAATATAATCTTGACTTTATTCAGTATTAAATTTTAATGCATTCTCTTACCACCAGCATTATCTACTATACACTATTCATCACTATCCACTGTCACCGGTGCAATATTGTTCTTATGACCACAACCTCAACTCTTTCAACAGCAACCTGTCACCTCAGTACGATTCCTCACATTCTGGAATCCCTCAGCCTCAACAGTCTTCATGTCCGTTCTTCACCCCTTCTCGCTCCATCCCCCGGTCGCGTTTGAGCCTGAGGCGATTAATTGATTTCGTCGCTTGCCGCCTGGCGATGGCTCCCTCGAGCCGCATAACTGCCTCTCGCCCGCCTTCCTTCCCCACCACCGCTCTCTCCCCTCCTCTAATCCCTTCCGCTCCCCCTCCCACACCCACACCCAACGCGCGCTTGAGTGAGAGGCTGAGAGAGCACATGTTTTCTCGCACGTTGCAATTCCGGGAGATTCTTTTCATTTCACGAGCAGATTCGCTTAATTGTTTTCTGTAGAAAAAGTTTGAGAAAAGTACTGCGGATAATTTTTTTCCGTTTAACGCAATGTCTCATACAAATTTGGATTAGTCTCAACTTCATTTTTGAAGTTTAAAACGCTATCAAATTTCGAAAAGTTACGTTCCAACTGTTTATGCTTGTTAATTTCAGAGAAAGAGATTGAAAGAGCTGAACGTAAAGTTCAATTGCAATGTTCTTGAGGCAGTATAAAAATGATTTGAATAAACGACGTATCTTATGCAACTTGGTCTTTTAAATGACGGCAACATGAAGGTAAATGGTCATATGTCTTGTACTACAACTTGAAAACATTTTCCATTCGTTACGGTCCAGTTGAGACTGCCTTCTCCGCATAAAAAATGTCTTTCAGTTATTCTTGTAATTATTGAGGTTACACGTAATAACATTTTAGTTTCTAAAATTACAATTGCATTTATGCAATTTAATAAAACCAAATCTTTTCTTTACTCCTATTGACAAAAAGTATTTCCTTTCATTTTCATCCCTACAGAGAATATATGTTTTAACCTCTAGACCGTGAAAAGTATGAAACATTCACGCTTTTCGTAATGTCTTTTTTGTCGTTCGCCTAGCTGCCAGCTGCAGCAGTTCCCATTAGAATTTAGTAGACAAACCATCTGCACTGGTCACAAAAAACGTTGCAAAAATTAGCGTAGCTCTTTGCGTGACAGACACGCTTTGTATTCGCAGCAGCAGAAAATGGGACGAGAATTGCGTAAGTTGTAGTTGTGCCGTCATACAATGACGGTAGCATGAATATTTACTTGACAATACTTGCATTTCTTTCTAGTCTCTGGCTTTTGCGACTGAAAAGTACTTTACAAGATCATATTTTGTTAAATTACAATGTCTGTATACTAATAAAGTTTTGTTTTTCTTTGAGTAAGCGTCAGGTTCTTTATGTAACTCTTCTTCTCATATAAACTCTTTAGAACATCTCCATTTATAGTATCTTTAATCCATTTGAGCCATTTCATTCTTATCCAAACACATTTCAAATGCTTCCATACTTCTTTCATCTTGCTTCTTCATTTAAAAATTATATAACTGAGAAATGAAATTAATTTTGTTTCATTGGTGAACTACCCCTGAACATCGGAGTCATATACAAATGCTCATTTGAATACTTTGAAAAAAATAATTTTAACATCTATGATATAAAAAACGTGCAGTCTAACAATTTTATTCTAATGCCGAAAGATTTCTTTTTTGCTATTAGATATTAAAAAGGCTGGGTCCATAGAAGAAGTGAAGATAGTGAAGAATTACCTCAAAAGCGTTTCTAGGCAGAAAATCAGTCAAAATGAACCATGTATTAATAAAAATCTGGTAATAGAGTAGCAAAACCCTGAATCAGAACAAGATGAAAAAATAAGTTCCGGTTCTATTTCGACGTTTATGAAACAACATTTAACTTTACAGTTCCGTATCCGATGCGTAAGTGCATTTAGGCCCATTCCCAATGCAAATGTAAAGATAAGCATAACGCATGGACCTAAACATTAACATAAGGTATGACTTGTGTGTGACTGAAGAATTCACAATGTCTAACATAAACGTAAGCAAAATATAACTTTCTCTTGGCTGTGAGATGTTCTGTTGGTTGGATGGGAGAATCGATTTCGAGGTGTCGACTTTGCCCATGGCCCATATGGCGTTAGTTTGTCTATCGACTTCTCTCCTCTTTCGATTCTCGATTTTGAGTCAACGTACTGGGATTGGTTCATTTCTTATGTCTTACTTATGGATAAGCACAGAAGCTTCAAGTTTGCAAGTTTTTAAGTTAACGTCTTACGTGTTATGGTTATGCGAATGCATTGTGAATGAGTCCGCTTATGTACATAATCCTAACTTTTATGTTACACCGAAAAAAAGGACCTTTGGAGTACACCAGATCCATGATACTGTAACACGCTTCCTTGTCACAATATCATGGATTTGGTAGACTGCAACGGTACTTTTACACCGAAAAAAAGAACCGTTGGAGTATAACAGATTCATGATACTGTAACAATGTTCCTTTACACAGTATCATGGATCTGGTATACTCCAACGGTTCTTTTAAACCGAAAAAAAGAACCGCTGGAGTACACCATATCCATGATACTGTAACAATGTTCCTTTACACAGTATCATGAATCTGGTATACTCCAACGATTCTTTTACACCGAAAAAAAAGAACCGTTGGAGTATACCAGATCCACGATACTGTAACAAGGTTCCTTTACACAGTATCATGGATCTGGTATACTTCAACGGTTCTTTTTTTTCGGTGTAAAAGAATCGTTGGGGTATACCAGATCCATGATACTGTAGCAAGGTTCCCTGTCACAGTAGCATGGATCTGGTATACTCCACAGGTTCTTTTACACCAAAAAAAGAACCTTTGGAGTATACCAAATCTATGGTACTGTATCACGGTTCCCTGTCACATTATCATGGATCTGTTGTAAACGTGGACGAGAACCAGTTCGATTTTTTCAGTTTTTTATTGGTTAAATATCACCGCGTAATTTGTAGAAAAGGTGCTCTTTATTAAAGAGCGGTTGTCCGAACTGATCAAAGTATTTTTTCGTGGAGAAGGAAATGCATCAACTTATCGTATAAATAAATTGCCAATATGTATGCTCAGCCATCCACTCAGATTTAAAACTGTTTTCATTTACAAAATGGAAGGTAAATGAACATTTTTTAAAATGAAAAAGCTGAAAAGCAAGTCCCGTGTATGAAGTATGACGCTAGATGACACTGACCTCCCAATCAGCACAGGAAGAATATTTTAGCATGCAGTTGTTTGCATTTAATCCATAAATGAAATCGTTTTACATGGCTTGTATTTGCAGAGTTATCAAAGCATTCTAGTTAATATGCTTTTCTATGGTGTCACTTCTTATTATGGAATGTCCATTCAATTCACAATTCAAATGCAATTCGCTCTTGCCCTTGACAACTTTTACGCATAAAAGTTTTTATTTCATTCATATTACATTTAAACTGGCAACACAATCTACCCTCCCTCTACTTTCAAGGGGAGGGCGGTTCGGCGGTCTACTCAACGTTCATGAAAATCTGAACATACCTTTCTATATTCTTCAATTATTTCAGGTCATAAAACGTTGTTTGTCGTTCAAAATTACTAGTCAATAAAAGTCTATGAATTGTATAAAACAAAATACACATTGAAACATTTTAAATCACGAGGTAGTTAGAAATGGACACTCTATAAACAAATAAATGAAAACAACATATCTTTATTTATATAATATTTTAAAAAATCAGCATTAAAAATTAAATAACCGAAAAAAATGTCTCAAGACTACGATGGAATACACTTCTAACACTACTCGTATGATGCCAGAGCAGTCACATGTGTGTCGTGTTCAAACAGAAACCCCACAAAATAGACAGACCCCTACATTTGTTCCTGTCTGACGAACAAGTCCATTCTGGGAATATCATCTTGAAAAACTTACATTATTCCTTATTGTTTCATTAAACTGAATAAACCCTTCATAAGTACATGTACTTCCAAGTATAGATCTGAACATGATGGAGTGGGGCAAGATCTCCAAAGAGTATCCACCGTTACAAGCTCTGCTTTATGCGTATGTTCTGATCTGCTGAACGGCCACTACTTAGTATTGGTAATATTTTAACTTTCTCTACAGAAGACAACTTCTGTGTTAGAATATTTAAAGGCAGCAATCTTGTGGTGGTTTGACTCGTTCCTCTATTCTTGAAGAGGCATTACTATTTAATTGTTTCTAAAAGATGTTTTTTACCTGTGCTCTTGTGCTGAGCGCAGGTCGTGGTCTTACGAGTCGTATTCATTAATGGACGGTTTAATTAGTACATAAGTACACATGTTTGTCGCAGTTGCCTATTTTTACTCATGCCTGAGGGCGTGTGGCAGCTTGGGGCTGCTGAACGAGTACGACTTCTTGGATGGTATTAACCTGTGATCTGTAGTCGACACAAGTTTTGAGCCGTTCGCTTGAGTGACGCAGGTCTGATCTTATGGAGGTGGATGAATTTTTACCCCAACTGTTCTTTTGACCCGTGCGCAAGTCGAGCTGCTGCTGCGCATATAACTTCGCGGGGATGGATTATCACGTGCTCTTCATGTAACACGAGATTTGACCCGTGCGCTTGAGAGTGCACGGGTTTGATCTTACGGTATTTGCACCCCAACTGTTCTGTAGATGTCGCCTCCTTTGAGCTGTGCTTCGGGTGCAGGTTCGGGCTGCTAGACGTCTCCTTGTATTGGATTAACCTTCTCTCTTAGTAGGCATAAGTTTGTTGCCGTTCTCTTTATGTGTGCGGCCAACCTGATAGTGAAACTTATGTGTACCACTTGTCCTGTAAAGTAGCCTGTTATGACCCGTGCTTGTGCTCCGTGCGCAGCTCGGGCTGCTTGACGAGTACGATTCGTTGGGATGGATTACCTGTGCTAGGCACGAGTTTTGACCAGTACTCTTAATGTGTGGCAGCGCTATATCTTACGGTACTTGCACCCAACTATTAGAAGTCGCCTGTCTGGACCCGTGCGTGGCTCCGTGCGCACCGTCGGCGGCTGGGACCGAGTATGACTTCGTGGTGGTGGGCGGCGGTCGCGGGCCGCCGGCGGCGGCGGGCCGCCTGTCGGAGGAGCGCGATTGCGCGCGTGCTGCTCATCGAGGCGGCGGCGACGAGCCGCCGCGGCCCCAGGTGCCGTCCATGGTCATCAACTACCACAGGCACCGACCTCGACTGGCAGTACGAGACGCAGCCCAGGGCCCGCGCCTCCAGAGCTTCCCCGCAAGCGCTGCCAGTCGGTGCGCGGAAAGGTCAGTCGCCGGCCACCGTAACGGCACGCTAAGGCCCGTTGACCGTGCAAACACATACATAAGCATCATGTAAACGAAAA